ATCTTTGTAGAGTACTGATCCCGGCGGGCGCGTTCGTATGCTCCAACATCGCAAGGGGTAGCTACACCTGAATTTTAAGCAGAATTTGAGATTAAGTTAAGGTTATCCCTCAGCATCGCATCGGCTGTACTCCATGTTTAAGTTTTCGCTAAATGACACCTATCTATCATTAAGCCCATGTAATCCCTTCTCGTTGACGAACGATTACTCATACTTCTCCCCATAATGCCAAATCTGTGACATTTGCGGGAATTTTAGACAATGGAGTCCCCTAAGGCAGGTTGGATTGAATTATGGACAAACGGCCACCTTAATGGCAGCGTAGAGTGTATAATGGCTTTCTTTATACGGTTACACTCCATGCTGTCATTGAACACTCTAGCAGGCGCAAGTACTTAAATATGATGGGAAAAATGTCAGGCTGTGTTGATTATAGGTAAGAGTTCAATTTTAAATATAAGGCATAATCAGGGGCTTCTTTGGGTAAACAAAATGGTGATGTGGTTATGTATTACGAGTGCAGTGGTAGGCGTCCTTAAATTCGAGCGAACCAAGTTGATGAAATGGGCATATGCCTGTTTGTGTGAAATAAGCACACAAAGTTACGATCGAAGAGAGGGGCATGCGGGAATTTTACAGTCTTAATGGCATAATCCCTGAGATTTGCTAATGTCATGTCGCCTTGCGCTTGTCGGTCAGGCATTTGTAAAGTTAACATCAATTGAACAGACGCTGGAAGTTACAATTATTACTATGAAAGCTCACACAAGGTTCGTTACAATTTGTCTCAAGCTAAGCACGATACGAAAATTAGAATAACACGATTTTTAGCTGTGATTTCATAGTGAATATTATAGTAATAAAGCAGATATTTTGTGCTAATCGTCTGGGGACTTTAATTTCGCATGAATAAGTTATTCATATGTCAATCTCTCTGGCTGAATCCTGTTGTAATGCAGTTGTTTGGCATTTTTACGACGTTCAGGTTGAGGCGTTCTACGAGATATTCTAATTCGTTTCGAAAGGCGAACTGAGATTTTGCCTATCACAGGATGGATGTGATCAGAGATGGAGCAAACTTTTGTAAAAGTCTCAAGTTAACACTATAGCAATAAGCAGCTATAATCATGTATTGAATGTTAATGACCCAGACAGAGAGGAGAGAAATAATGGTCTCGTGACTTGATTTACATGATTACAAGCTTGCTGACTTATGCAGTTTCGGTCAGCGCTTTATGTTGGGTCATTGATTCTTGGTGAACAAAGCCTTATATTAATCTTTAGAATACTGATTTTGTACCGGCATTGCGTATTGACATTAAAACGCGCTCGCACAGACACTTGAACAAAATTAGCACGACTATTATGAAAGATAATAGGATAAACTATTATATACCGATCTAAGTTTCTAAATTT